CAAACAGGGCTTTGAAATTGCAATGGGACACTGTTGTGAGAAATGGTTTCTCCATCCTGTTCCAGTAAACAGAATGTGTATCTTATAGTTTCATGTTGAGTGAAGATAGATCGTTTTGGGTCCATAATTCTTCTGGAGAAGGGAGAGGAGCCACTGCAGGCGCGTCAGAGCCCCTCCGTCTATCCCTCTGCCTGGCACAAGTCCTGGGCGCTGCTCCCACGTGCTCAGCCTCTCCATGCACTTGATGTCTCATCTGGGTCTCATGGAGGAGGAAGTGGGCCCTGGAGCCCTGCATTTTGGGACCCAGCATCTAACTGGGTTTGACACTGGTCAGGCTCTGCCCTGTGTCCCAGGACTGATAACTGGAACTGCCTCCATCCCAAACCCCAGGCCTCGGTTCTGGTGTCACGACCCTGTCTTGCTTCCGCAGACTGAGTCAAAACTCAGTTAACCTGCATGATTACCTGGTATTTCTTGACCTGTGACACTGTAATGTTATTGCCAAACCTCAGTTCCCCCTGACCTGAGTCAGAACCCTAGACCTGGGGGATTCAGGCCCAGTGACATGTGCCCAGTGACCCCCTGGCACACTGGCCTGCCTAGACTGGTCTTGCTGCTAACAATCCCTACACAGGACTAGACATGCAGTGCTACCATTTGGCTTGATTGCTGCCTCTCTTGTATTTTTCTCTTAGAGCACTGTGTCCTACTTTCTGGGCCAGACTTGATCCTGGCGCTGACAACTTGCCTGTGTCCCCTCAGCTGCAGCCCAGCCTAGCGCAGGATCCACGCTTACACCTAACCTAGTTATTCCCAGCCCTAACTGGAGACTCACTTCTATTACCTTTCTTCCAATCAGGTCTAGTTCTCACCTCAAATGAGACTTTTTGCTAAGGCAGAAAAGGGGCAAGCCTTTTAGGGTCAGCAGACACAGAGAGAAGCGGGGAGGGAGGGGAACCCAGTCAGTATGGGCCTCTGGCCAGGCCAAGTGCACATCTGACTGACATTTAGCTGCTGCCACCCCAGAAAGAATAAGGCTCGATCTACTAGCTTGAATGACAGGGTGGCTTCTGATCTGAGCTTCTGATCTGATCTGACTCCCATGGCTCCTCAGAACATTGTAGCCACTCTACTGAGTGCTCACTTAGAAACTACTTGGAATTCCCAGACAGCTCAGGCTCTCCTGGGCAGGTCCCTTCCTGGATGGCTCTTTTAATCCTCTGAGCCTCAGATCATATTTTAGCTCTTCTCTTGAGTTTGGTGCCCATCCTTTTTGCTCTACTCAAACCCAGTTATTTCCTCCAGATCCTGGCAATAGTATGTGCCCAGTAAACACTGAATGAATGAGCGAGTGAGTGAGTGAATGAATGAATGAATGAAACCACCACGCCTCCAAAGTCCTGAATACAAAACCCCAACGGCCCTCTGAAAAATGTCCATCTAATTGTTAAACACTGAACTACATATGAACCAGTGAATGAGATATTTGTTTCTGTTTTTGTCTGTTCAGTTGGGAAAAGACAACTAAAAAGAAACATTGCTGAGCTCTGGCCTTGCTGCCTCTGTGCCTATAGTCAGCAATACAGAGAGGAGCTGACAGGGCCGCAGTCCTGGAAATAAATAACCCTCCCTCTTGTTCAAGTGCAGTTTCTAAAAGAAAGTTCTACCATATACTTAATTGGATTCTTTCTTGCTGCAATTTAAGCCTTCTTCCTCTTTTCCCCGAGTGGGATTATAGCTCATTATCTCTGAAGTTCACAGGGACGCCTTTTCTTAGCAAGGAACTGACGCTCAGAGCGAACATTCTCTCCTCACCTGTGTCGTCCTGTGTATGTGCGTCTTTCTCAGACTTTCAGAAATAGTGCATTGGCTTTAACGAGTTAGTACATAGTAGGTCCCTGTGCTGTTCGAGAAAGCGATTTTCATATGTTCATATATTGTTAAAAAGTAGCGGTACTTAAAAAAAAAAGTTTAATCCTTCCCTACTTCCTCAAATACTGAATTTCAGATCCTTTGGGGTCCAACATAATTTAGGTGTTAATTCCTTTCTAAGCTCTTTTCAAGTTAGCACACTCACCATGTAGATTCCATTAAACCCCAGAGTTTCTTCTCTGGGTGTCTCGGAAAAAGCCAAGTAATGCATGCTCAGGAATAGTGTCTTTCATTCCCCTTTCTGACTATTTATTTATGTGGCCTTCATAAAGAGAACAGAAGTCTGCTACAACCAAAAAAGCCTGCAGGCACTGGGCTTCTCATCTCATTTGTGGGAAACATCTGGTTAATATCATTCACGGGCTCTCATTCCAGGGTTTGCAGCCCTGAGCGGTTTCAGCCTTAAATCACCCTGGATTGGCAAACAATAGTGAGGGACAGGCCAGGAAAGAGACGGGCAAAGCTTATGTTTGGAATGAGCTTAAGTAAAGGCATAAACACGCTGATATTCCCATTTTTATTTCTAATATATTCACTGTGAAAGCCAGTATGTTATTTCAGTGATGATGACATTGAGAACCATTGTGTTCTGGAACTTTCCCTTTAGAATTGGCCTGGGGATCAGAAGGCTACGTCTTGATTTTTTTAAAGAGTAAATTTCTAGTAGTGGCATGTATTAGGTGAATGGTCAAGCTGGGTCATTCTTGGTGGAAACTTTGAAGTAGTTAAAAAGAGACCTGTTTAAACACGGAGCAGAGACCCAGGCTCTAGTTCCTACTCTGCCGTGTTTGCTTTGTGATGCTGGAAAGTCACTGAATGCTTTAAGCCTCAATTGCTTTACTGGTAAAGTGGGAATAAGATCTATGAAACTATGAGGATTTCAAATGAATAACCCAAGTGTGAGTCTTGTCTCTGTTACTTCCAAATGTTTATAGTATGTCTTTGGTAAAATCGTGGTTTTGAGCAACATCAGCACAGAGCCCTAGAGTCTGGAATGCTAGTGCTCCAGAAAATTCTCCAGTCAACAATCCCATTACAGATGAAGAAAATGAGAATCATAATTATAGAGGAAGTGACTAGAATGCCAAGGTGGCTACTTTCAAAAACAATGCTTATTTTGCATTTATATTTAGGGTTAAAAAAACACAAAAATAAATATTTAAAATAAAATAACAACCTCACCCTAGCTGGTTTGGCTCAGTGGTCTGCGGACCTAAGGGTCCTGGGTTCAATTCCAGTCGAGGGCATGCACCTTGGTTGCAGGCTCCTTCCCGGCCCTGGTCGGGATTTGTGCAGGAGGCAACCAATGGATGGGTTTCTCTAACATCGATATCTCTCTCTGTCTTTCCCTCTTTCTTCCACTCTCTAAAAATCTATGGAAAAATATCCTCAGGTGAGAATTTAAAAATAAATAAATAAAAACACAACAACAACAACCTCATTTTGCTGAAGCCCTGGTGATACACTATCATCAAGTTAAATGGATTTAATAAGTGGGACAGCAGTCCTCCTGGGATTGCAGATCAGCATCACCCTACTTATTCTGTGCGGCCCAGAGGAGGAGTGGAAATATCCAGGGTGGCTGGAGAAAAGCTATCATAAACCTTTTCCCAGAAAGGAAGAGCATATGTGGGTCCTTCTACACGCTCTGGGATGGCTCAGTAAACCCAGGTGCAGTTGTCATACCATCTGCCTCTGGGCTTATGTGACCTTTCAGCACAGGTGAGGAAAGAGCAAGGCTGTGCAAGGCCCAGGCCCAGGCGGTACCTGAGAGCCACAGAGGAGGCAGGAAGGGAGAATGATGTAGAAAAAGGAGGGAGAACAAGTAGGAAAAGTAAGAGAAGGGAATGTCCTCCCTGAGGATTGTGGTGGAGGGTCACCATGACTACTACGCCTGGTGGCATCTGTGCTACTATTTGTCTTTCTGGGAACATTATCACACCACCAGTGGGAGTGTCTGTTTCCTGCAAACAGATCTCCCAGGAGAGGGATCCCCTCGCAGCTACTCTAGAAACTCAATACATTTGAACAGCCCCTGCTCTTAGAAAAGTCTTACTTATTTAACAAAGAAAACAACAAAGTCCCTTTATATCACCTTTGAAATTACTTGCTTCTTTATCACACTAAAAGAACAATTCAGTGCTTATATTGGAAAACTCTTTTTTTTTTTTTGCTGCCTCCTTCAAATTTTTATAAGGGCATAAATTTTGTTTTTTATGCAGGGAATAAAGATTTCAGAAGGATGGTCAGTTATTTGCTGATTGAATTACCGGGAGAAAGTATGGTTTAAAAATGTATATAGTTGGAAGGTCTGCTCAAGGCGGGGAGGGGAGAGGGTTAGAGATCAACCAAAGGACTTGTATGCATGCATATTAGCATGACCAATGGACACAGACACTGGTGCGGTGGGGTTTGACCTTGGGGGTGGGAGTGGCAGGGGGGTTAATTGGGGAGAAAAGGAGACATGTAATACTATAACAATAAAAAAATGTATATAGTTAATTTTATGCCTGCATGTATTTAACCCATCTGTAGTAATTATAATATCTCTTTGTGTGTGTTTTTTATTTCTTGGGGGAAATGGGTTAGGTTGGACCTGGATGCATCATTATAAAATGTGCACATATAAATTGAACTTTTCTAAATCTAGGTCAATTGGGTAAGAAGTCTCTTCTGATAAAAGTAGGTTGACAATTAGATTCACAGGCCACTTCAACATTAAATGATATTTCTTCCTACATCCTGGGTCATAAAGCAGTGTAAATAATACATCAGTGTTAAGAAACGGAAAATGCAATCACAATATTAGCAAAGCTTCATAGTACATGGTTTTACACTTTAATATGCTGTGTCCCATTCTGCCATGTTAGTGTTTTAAATAGTATAATTTCTTTTTCATGTAGTTTTAAGTTCATCTTTTATTTTCTCCTCACCCATTCTGGAATAGCTTTCTACAGTGCTAGGAGAAATTCCTAAAAAATAAAAACCATAAAGTCAAATGATATTTTTAGAAAAATGTAAAAGATTTCAGATCCTCCAGCCAAAATGTTATCTTGTGTTTTTTCCAGACTCCATCTGTGTACCAGGCTTTGATCCAGGCCTCAACATGATGACTGGGATCACCCCCATTAACCCAATGATCCCAGGCCTGGGACTGGTACCACCCCCGCCGCCAACAGAAGTGACTGTCATCAAAGAAATAATCCACTGCAAGAGTTGCACTCTTTTCCCTCAAAATCCAAGTAAGTGATGTCTGTGAGAAATGTTTGCTTATCAATTTAAATTACTTTCTTTCGTTTTTATCATAGCATTGCATTCATTTTCAGATGTGACTCAGAATTCTTCCACATAGATACTAGAGTGGGGGGATCCATTCCACAGACGTTCCTTATCTCTAGATTAGAATGCATGTGGAGGAGATATGTCCATATGTCTGTCCATGAGCTGACTCAACACCGTAAAGGCAGTACCTGTGATTTGGAACTATATATCCAACATTAAGAATCTTTTTGCATGCAATGAGGTCTGACTTTTGCTGCAGAACATAGTGTGAAATATGTGAGCACTTCCATCCATCTTCACAGTTGCGGGGGAAAAACTCTGAAATGTTTTTTTGCTAGATGGAAAATTGAATTAATTTGGCGGTTAGCAATTTTGGGGGGAGCCTGCATCTCAGACTCCCTGGGCCAAATTGCATTTGCTTGAAGGAAGCATACATTTGATGAAATAAATGGGTCAGAATTTTTTTTTTAATTTAGCCTCAGATTCTAAGTTTGTGGGCTTAAATAGCTAGGATTTTTTTTTTATTCATATTAATCAGTGTTGCCTTTTTTAAGTGGACTTTTCAGGAGATTGCTTTAGTAATCTACATATAAACTAGGTAAAATGTTGTGACAGTGTACATTTTATCTTTTTATACAGCCTTCCCCAAATTTAATAGTTTGCTCATTTCAATGTGAATAATACTAAAAAAAAAGTTTTTTTCAGGCTCAGGGTTTCCCAGCCAAGTAAGTACTGCGCGAGCTTTCAGGTTCGGCTCTCTGCGTTCTGCCTTGCTGCTTCCTTACCCCGAAACAAGACAAAGCAGATAACGAACCGAGGCTTTTCATCATGTTGTCATTTCATCATGCTTTGTACCTTGCAAAGGATTTTTCTTCGTTTTCTGGGTTTCCATATTATGAAGGAGAAATGAAATTATGCTAACATTTACTTTATCTTTGTTCACGGACAAGCCTAGCTACTCTGTGTAGAAATGAACAAAAAGAGAAAAGAAAGTTGGGAGGAGGAGGGGAGAGGAACTGAAAAACAAGACAGCCCATGATCAATGTAAGTCGGTGTAGAAATTTATCATTATCCAGAGAGGAGACAGTTACTCTGCGAGTTTTACTTTTGCCAGGTGAACCGGAAAAAAGAGCGCAAAGAAATCAAAGGCAAAACCCTCTATTTCTTGTGCTTAATTATTAGATCTTCCACCTCCTTCCACAAGAGAACGACCTCCTGGCTGTAAGACTGTGTTTGTCGGAGGATTGCCAGAAAATGCCACTGAGGAAATTATTCAAGAAGTCTTTGAGCAGTGTGGTGATATCACAGCGATTCGGAAAAGCAAGAAGAATTTTTGCCACATTCGCTTTGCAGAGGAATTCATGGTTGATAAAGCCATTTACCTTTCTGGTACTTTGCATTCCATAAGGGCTTTTCTGGGCATTTTGTTATGTTTTATGATGGTAATGTGAGTTTATTCCCTCTTGCCTTAATGCACAGTAAAAATCCTTACAGTTGGGGGCTGGAAAAGGAGGGATTCTGCCTTTTCCCTAGGCTGCCAGAAGCTCCACCTTAAGTCTGTGAATGTACCTCGCTGCAGGAATGGTTTCCCACATCCAGTCTTTAGGAATTCCATCAAGCTTCTAATTAATGATCTCAAGTGCTTATTAGATGAAAAGCAATATTATGAATACTGAGGACCATTATGATTATTGGATGTAATTCTCTGGGAGATTAAAGTACTCTCTTAGCATAATTTCCGTTTTTCAGAAGTGATTCACTTTCTAGACACCAGGGGACTAAATCAAGATCAGTTCTTTGCAGAAAGCAGTCTGTGGGAGCCAGGGAAAGACCCAGTATCATTGCCCAATCGTTTGTACATTTATCTTGGTTAAACCCACCCCATGATCCCTGCTTCTTCAGTACCAGTTTACATGGGAGAATTTTTACAGGTGTTGTAATTAGATCTAATACTGCCTTTGGCTCTGTGGGTGTCAGAGCAAGTGTATGGAGTCTCTCTGCAAGGCCTTTGCCCAGTCTAAGAATTGCAGGCTGGTATTGATATGTGGCTTTAGAAGGATGTATTTTAGATTCAACTCATTGCAATTTCCTCACACTCTCAATCTGCATATTTTAGCAAGTCACTCTGGGTACTACTCCCTGTTCCTGAGGCAAAACCAATGGGGCAAGGTGAGAGAAAGGATAGGAAAAAAACAAAACAAAGCACATCTGAACATTACTGCAGATTGATTTCTGCAATCGGCCATGAAATTCTCTTACAAACCCCAGAAGCTTTGGGGTTAATCCAATAAGGCAGAAACTTTCCTCAGCAAGATAGTGATATGGAGAACTTTAAACCCCTTGTTCCCATAAAACCTTACAAAGAGGGGGGGAAAAAATCTGACAGCTTTCCAAAATGGAGATGGAAGGTGAAACAAAAGATAAAGATATTTTACAACACGGAGACAGCTATGTTTTACTTTTCACGTATTCCTGAGCTGTAGCCTCAGAGCGATCCATTAGACAATTGGGGACTCGGTTGAGTGCCCGGCACTGGGCTTCGCATGCCTTGGGCAAGATAACCTCCCTCTGAGACTCCTTTCCCTCATCTGCAAAATTGAGATAGTGACAATACTACCTCATAGGGTTGTTATGGGGAATAAATCAAGATAATGGATTTTAAGAGCTTAGCAAGGCATCTGCAACATAGGAACCATTCAGTATGTAAATGGTTATTTTATTAATGTTTTAACACAAACGTTCTGATGATGATAAAGACAAACTGATTTGTTTCTAATCCCAGCACTACCAATAAAGCTATTACTTTATCCCACCTGATTAGATGAGAGGGTCAGAGTAGATGAAAAGTGCTTTAACACCAACAGAGCACAATGTTTAGACCCAATCAGAAACCCCATAATACATTGCCAAAGATGAACACGCCCAATGTAGGCACATGAAGGTACTTCTTTATATATGCCTTGATGTTATGATTTTGCCAGCTTGGACCCTGGTCCTGCTTCTCAGCAGGGCACTGCCTTGCTCCTTGGTCTGCCCTTTTGAGACAGGAGGAACGCCCAGCAAAGGCCTTACCTCCAGCCCCCTGCCCGGGTGCGTGGGCATCTCCCAGCTATGCCTCTGCTGCCCTGTGGAGGCTGCAGCATCAGTCACAGGAAGATCTGAAAGGCTGATTAATGTGAGGAACAGGAAGGGGGGAGGGCTGCTCCTCCTGCGTGTGAGCTTCTGCAAGCCTGAGCCCAGATGGAAGGCTTGTCTAATTTTAGGACCGGGTTCACATCTGAAGGCCCAACCAAGGTACAATGCCCCTGACCGGAATTGAACCTGGGACCTTTCAGTCCGCAGGCTGACGCTCT